GTGGGGTGCTTTTGGACTCCCATTCCCAAGCTCAAAGGTAAGTGCCCCTGCTCACCCCGACCTGCCCCCACATGGAAAGCCCAGTCCCCCAGGCTTTTCTTCTCTCTGCAAAGAAATCTTTTGGGCCCCCTAGGGAATCTAAGAGCAGAGCCCCAAGGTTCAGAGTGAGGATCAGCCATCCTTGGCTTTAGTACTGTAAAAGTGACACCTCAGATCCCAATGTCCTCTCCCCCCACCCCAATCCTCCAGTGACAAGGTTTGCGAGATGAAGGAACCACTGGGAATTTCTGCCCCTTGTTCAGATTCAATCCCTGCTGCAGGCTCTGGGCCACATGGCATTCCTCATCTCCAGATGCAGGACAGGGTGAAGGACAGCTAATGCGTCACCCCAGCATGGGCTTCCCTGCTGCTGTGGGCTGCCAGTCCTCATTCCCAGCTGCCACTCAGGTTCTGCAGGTCAGGGAGGGCAGCCTATCCAGGGAGGAGGACCCGTGGCTTCAGTCTGAAACTGCAAAGCACCTGTACTTCCTCCAGGAAGCTATCCTGCATCCCCTGTGATCCCCTTGCATACATCACTACAAGTTATTAATTAAACAAACATTTATTGAGTGCTTTCTGTGTACCAGGTTCCAAGCCAGGCACTGTTGATACAAAAATTCAAGGACAGTCCCTGCCCTCAAGGAGCTTACAGTCTATTGCGGAGACAGACCAGAGAGCAGGCAAATAAGCCCGGAGTGATCTGTGGGTGTGCTGGGCGGGCTCGGGGGAGGAGAGGGACATTCGAAGTTCCTTGGAAGAAGTAAAATCTAAGCTGAGACATGGCAAAGTGCCAGGGTGAGTAGAAGAAAGGAGCATCCAGGTGGGTAGAAAGCCACGGCACCTTGGATACGGGGGGCTGGGACCCAGGCTGCAGGAAGGCAAGGGATGATGCCAGAGAGGTGAGCAGGGATCAGGACACAGTGGGTCTAACGAGCCATGCCAAGGGGTCTAGACTTTGTCCTAAGGGCAATGGGATGGTTTCTGGCCAGGAGTGACTTAATTGTGCATTTTAGAAAGACAGCTCTGGCCAGCCATGGGGCAGAGAAGCAGCAGAGGCTATCACAATAATCCAGGAGAAAGCTGAGGATGGTAGAGTGGCTCAAATCAAGAGATGTTAAGAAGCAGGGATAGACAGCATTTCCTGTCTGGCTCCCGCGTGGTCCTGGAGCCGAGGCAGGTACCCGGAAGGGGCACGCTTGGAGAGGACCGAGACAAGTGCCATCTGGGCCATGGACTTGAGCTGTCTGTGCATCCAGAGGGCAGCAGAAACTTGGGTTTAGATCAGGAGGATACTGGGCTGGAGGTCAACTCTCCCTTCCTTGCAGGGTCCTTGAAGCCATCGGTGTGAATGGGCTTCCCCAGGGAGCCCCACAGCAGAACCTGAGACCCCAGTATGCATGGGGCAAATGCACAGGAGACTGAAAGGAGCAGCGTGATGGCAGGAGACGACCAGCCACAGAAACGCCAGGGAAGATTCAAGAAGGGGTGATCAACCATCTCCAATGCAGCCGAGGTCCAGTAAGATAAAGGATCTGCTCGATTCAACGTAAGGCGACCAGCAAGCCCTGCGAGAGTGCATGGAGTTGTGAAGCTCACCTTCGGGGTGAGGAACAGAGTAGTGCCCAGCAAGGGGGTGCAGGCCCAGCCATCGCCCCAGCAGCGAGGGCCACGCTGGCCTCCAGCGTCCTCTACCTTGTCCGTCCGAGTCTGCAATCCCACTTACAGTCAGATCAACGTATACTACTACTTCCTGGGAAAGGGAAAGGCTGGTATTTTTAAGAGAGTAGAAATGCTAAAGCCAAGGAAATGAATGGCTATGGTGGGAGTTCAGGATGAAGTCAAGGAAACATTTTCAAGCACAAGGGTCTTCCAGTGGCTAAAGGTGCACGTGTGCGCAGCCGGCCTCTGCACCTGCCAGCCCCACTGAGGTGTAGGACACGGCCAGTAACGGCTCTCGGGGACTCCTTCCGATGTGATGCGGAGTTCTACAAGGCACTGGAGTTGGAGTGCAAGGTCAACGAACGCTGGCCTGTGCCTGAGACCCGGCCTGCCTTCTCAGAAGGCAGAGATCATCTCCCCAGGAGTAAAGAACACACAGAAGAGAGGGCCAGACCTTCTGTGCTCTTAGAGTGACAGTGTCTTCCATTGGCCCCATTTCTTAAAAGCAAGCACTAGCGTAGGACATCTGGAAGTCAGTTTTTATTTTGTTTCTCCTTGAGCCAAGAATTCAGAATTCAGTCAGAAACCACTTCTTTTTCCCAGAGGAAGACTTATAAATAGGATATTGTGGATGTTCTTCTAAAAATCTAGTCCTAACAACATCATCTCCTACCTCACTTGATAGTCACAGAGCCTCAGGGAAAGAAGAAATGGAAGGAAAGGGAGATCCCTAAGAAAGGCTGCCTCCACCTGCCGCTCCCTGACCAGGCTCGGCAATTCATCTCTGCACCCTTTCTGCCAAGGGCCACAAGAACAGTCCCTTCGAAAAGGCAAGACCCAAACCCAGAAAAGGAATTCCTGGAGCAGAAAAGCTAGTCCCATCCAGGGTAGGTGGTTAGCGGGAAGAAAGAAAGATGAACTTTCAGGGTATTAAGGCAAATAGTGCCACCTAGAATCTTTATTCAAACGGGAATCAGCACTTGGACAGAAATCACAGTTCGACAGCAAAACTATTTCTCTCGGAAGTCCAAGCTGTGGCCTTCTGCCCGGAGAACTTGTCGCCATCTGCTCTCCAGTTTCACTGACCATGCCCTGCCTGCCTGAGCTGAGCCAGAACCTCCCAGCCCACCTTGGACCGGGAAGGGCTGGGGCCCTCAGCTTCATTGCTAAGTAGGCTCTGCCACCCTCCCTGGTGCCCTCTGAGGTTTCAGCCTCTGGCAGCATCGAATCTGAGCCAAAATGAGCCCCCCAGGAGGGTGGGAGTGGGGTTTCAGAACCGAGGAGAGGAAAGCCAGGGCTGGTGGAAGGTGCCTTCCGGCTTTCGGCCCCCACCTAGCACTGAGGCCTGGGGGCCTGCTTCCCCAGATCTTGCCCCCATATAGCTGCCCCAGAGGGTCAGTATATCTTCTGACGACTGGGCAGAATGGCCTCTTTGATGAAGGAGAAGACGACCAGGATCCCTAAGCGTTTGCCCCGCTTGCCCTTGGTGAAGTAATTGGAGACCACGTCATCTGTGGAGACATAGGCAGCGAGGTGAGTGCATGCGAGGGTGCACGCGCATGTGCGTGTGCATGAACACACCTCTCCCAACCTGGAGCCCACCCACCTTTATCTCAGGGCTGGGCTCTGGTCTTCCCCGCCCCCCAGCTCAGGCTGGCTGGCACCCCCCAACCTTGGCCCCTTATAAACCCCTTCTCACCTCCTGGCTGCATGGTGGAGGGCAGGATGTTCTCCCCAGCCGAAAGTGACACAAAGAATGCAAATGGGATTATCCACAGGCAGAAAGTGAAATAGGCCAGGACCTAGCAACAAGAGAGACTGAGAAGAAGGTGCCCCCGAAGGAGCCAGGAGCAGGCTGGCCAAGGTGACAGAGAGTCCACAGAAGCCCTAAAGGGGTGCAGGGCCTAGAGGGCAGGGTACAGGACATCCTTAGACATGGAGATAACTCAGTGGGGAAAGGCAGAGACTGGGGTGTCCAATATGGCCGCAATCTCCAAACTAGGTCACCAGGACGAGCAACTCCCCTGGGCGGGAAGAGGCAGAGGGAGGGCGAGGCCGTGACTGACCCACGCTCCTAGTAGAGCAACCTTAGTCTTCCCTGGCGTTCAAACTGGAGCAGCACAGTGTGGCGTAGCCCTGGGAGAAAACCTTGGCAGGCCACTGGAAGATGCGTCCCCTGCTCTGGGAGGTCTGCATCACACAAGGCCACCCCAGTGCCCCTTCCTCACCTTGGGATGACCCCACCGGGGGGCCTGAAGGACTCCAGGGAGAGTATGTCCTCCCCACCTCAGTCAAAAGGATCCTTTCTGTCTTTCATCCGTATTGTGGTCTAAAATCTTCTGTGTTTTTTAAAAACATGTGATCCCTGAATAGACTCGGTTTCAAATCAGAGCTAAGTTCACAAAGCAGATCCTGCAAGTCCCCTTTACTGCCCTGTCCCTACTAGTCGTTGGACGTGCTGGACACCCCTTACCTCTGAGAAAGGGTAATATTCTTCCGCAAAAAACTGAAACGCGAGGTAATGGTTCACCACCACTAGTCCTGTGGAGGGAACAAAGAGTCAGTCGGTTTTGGGGGAATAACATAAAGCTGCACTTCTAACCTTCAGCTCCCTGAGCTGACGGCCCTGTCTCAGTCCCAACTTGACAGTCAGAGGACAGCCCTGGGGCAAGCACACTACTGCCTGGAACTCGCCTTCCCATCTGTTAGAATGGAATACCTGGGGGGCCAGCAGGAGGCATGAAGGTTAAGGTGGCTGGGTTCCCACATGACAGACCATGGTCCAGGTCCCGGACCTGGTGGCTTGTTTTCTCACTTTCCTTTCCTCCTCTCTCTCTGGTCAAATTAAAAAATAATAAATAAAATTAAATAGTTATTAAAAAAAAAAAAAAAAAAAGACTGGATCCCGACTGGTGGTGTGTGGCTTCCATGCACTCTGGATCACCTCTCTAAGACACACAGTGACCATGCCCAGCCAGCTCCTGACACCTTCAGGGGCATCCTCTCAGCGTGCAACCAATTTCACACACGAGACAGAGAATGAGCAGATGCTTGGGAGAGGTTGCTCAGAACAGCATCACGACCTGTCCCTTTGTGAGCTGAAGGGTGGCAACGATGGTATGTGGCCCCTGAAACACCTTACACACACCTCGTAACAGCTACCACTTTTCTCCTTCTCCTGTCCTTCCCCTTCTAAGGCGAAGACCACAGCCTGCTCTGCCCAGGCACATTCTAAGGCTACAGGATACTGGGAGACAGGAGGGGCCTGCTCACAGATCTTTTGCAATAACTCTCAGGCAGCTAAAGGCAGGTCAGGAGAGTGGCAAAAGGAAGCCAGGGCAACTTGCTGTTGCTGTGTGTATGTGTGTGTGTGTGCACACACGCTTGTGCATGGGTGTATGTGTATGTGTCGAGTGGGAGTGCTGCTCCCTGGGAAGACAGAGAAAGGCCTGGTCTCTAGGAAAGGGATCCCCACACAAACCCCTGTGAACAAATTCTCTGGTGAAATTACATCAAGGCATTCAGAAATGAGACCAGTCCTAGCCTCACCACTGTGCCCTCCCTGTCTGTGGATAATACTGTCTTTCCAGGTTCTCCCGTAGAAATAGAAAAGTAGCTCTAAAAAAACCATAATGCCATCTGCTATTTTGACCAAAGGCTAGGATAACCAACAACAATTATCAGGAGAAATGGCAAAATCCTGTTAACCAAGTTCAGGAGAAATGGCAAAATCCTGGTAACCAAGTTCTGACTCCAGCCTTCTGCATGAATATCCGTAAATATCTGTAAGCACCTACTGGGAGCCGGATAAGTCTCCCGACAGTCTGTAAGGAACACCAGCTCTAAATAAATGGAGGAACTAAGGTCCAGAAAGTGGACATGACTCCCCAGGGTCAGAAAGTGCTGGCAGGGCAAAGGTAAGACTGGGGGCCTCCAAACACAAGCCTCCTCAGGCAGCAGCAAGCACCAGCCAATGAGAACGCACCTAGAACAGGCAGCCCAGGAGGCGTTCACACCCCACAGTGTCTGCATGGCGCTCACTCCCTGCAGCTCCAGTTTTTTTTTTTTTTTTTTAATTTGATTTATTGATTCATTTTAATTTGACAGAGAGAGAGAGACACAGAGAGAGGGAGAGTGAGAAAGCAAGCCACCAGGTCTGGGACTCGAACCATGGTCAGCCATGTGGAAGTGTCCAGTACCTTAACCACCATGCCACCTGCTGGTCCCCAGTTTTAACCCAGACTTTGGGCCAGAGGACAGGGTGGGGAGCTGCCAGCCTGCTGAGGAAGAGCTAGGGGCTTTTTCTGGCCAAGGGATATGTCTGAGGCTGGAACTACTTGGCCTTGCATCAGCCAACCCATACCCTCTTTCACCCCAAACCTTTTTCGAACTTAACTCTCTGGGAAAGCTCTCCCTGGCTGAACCTCCACACCCCTCACTCCCAACCAATTGTAATCAATAGAGCCAAGATTGGTTCTAGGATCCTCAAGAGTGAAACCACCATCTCCCCAGGCAGCCTGGCCTCCTGGAGGCCCTCAGTGGCTTATCCCCTTTCTCTGTAACCCCTTTGAGACTGAGCTGGGCACATCCAAACCTATAAGCTGCCCCCCAGCTCTGCCCCCTCTCACCACACGACAGGATGAAGTTAGGTGAGGTCAGCATGATGAAAGGGAAGGTCTGGAGGAGGCCAAAGTAGACGAGGTTGGTGAAGAGGCCCACGCCAATCATGCTGGTGGGGAAGCGCTCAAAGACGTAGAGGCCAATCAGCACAGCCGTGGAGAACTGAAACAACCAGAGGCACACAGTGTGGGAGCCGCCTCCAGGCAGCCCCCCCGGGGCTCACTAACTCAGCGCACTCAGACAGCACTGGGTTCATGCTTCAGTGGCATGTCACAGTCAGAGGCTGGCCTCGCCAACCAGACTTAGCTCCCCAAAGGCAAAATATTTCATTGCCATGTCTCAAAGTGCTTTTTTGGGGGGACAGCAATCCACAGTAACATAAACATTTTATAGTGTGATCCAAATATACGCTTACATTTATATGATCAGAGCCCAAATTTCAATTCTAGCCTTTTCTATTTTTTTCTAAACTGACTGTGACCTACTGAATTGATTATATAACCTAATAACGAACCATGCCTGCAGTTTGACAAACTTCAGAGGCTTTACAGCAGTCAGTGGTTAACAAGTGACAGTTGAATGAAGGTCTGATTCCTATATGAACCCCACAAAGTTAGTCTTGTCTCCACTACTAACTGCCAGCCTCAGGCCAAGACCATGGTAGACGTGGCTGCTGACACGAGGTGGACTCTTCCTGTCCAAATGCACCCCCACCCCACCCCCCGCTTTTCCTGCAGCTGGCGGAAATCTGTCCAACAGCTGTCACTCCTGTGACTGTGACATTAGTGGCAAGGATTGTGCCTTCAGGAAGAGAAGAATCCCACGAAAACAGACAAGGAGAGGACCAGGGCTGGGTCAAGAAAAGTGCTTTCCTCTTAAGACAAATCACTTGGGACCAGCAGTTAGCGTAATGGCTATGTCGCTGGACTCCCTTGTAGTTGGCCGCAGTTCGAGTCCTGGACCCGGTGGCTTAAAACTCACACCAGGCGCATGTATGTGTGTGCCCAAGATCCCAAGAGGAGAATGGAGGAGAAGGGATTGCGGCGTGGCCATCCCCTCTGGGGGCCAATTTCTCGCTTTCTGTCTCTCTGTCCCTCTCTGTCTGTCTGGCAAGCGCACATGCCCTATAGTGAAAACCTCTGCCAAAAAAAAAAAGACAAATCACTTGATCTAATTAGAAGGTGCGCAATAAACAAAGACTCAAAACTGTCCGTAGGTTCCCCTAAGTTCTAAATACCGTGGGCTGAGCAAGAGCTAGAAACAGTGGAAGGCAGCCAAGCAAGGAAAACGTCACGGTCCTGCCAACAGGCAAGGTGCGCTTGGCTGTCACCTTAAGAAACCAAGAATGAGATTATAGCGAAGTGAGGCCACTTGGGCAAGGAGACTAGGATCCCAGCTCAGGAGTGCAGATCCAAACCGTGGGGGTCCAGGGCAGGGGGGAGGTGTGGTACCCTCAGGAACAGCAGAGACAGAGAGGTCTCATCACCCACACTAACAGTTCCCCACTTCCTGCTGTTGTGGCAGGGCAAAAGAGAGGGAATTCGGAGGCCAGGTACCACTTACCCAGATCATGTACTTGATGATCCTGCTGGTGGCCACGGTGTACTCTTCTATCAGCTCCGCCAGGTAATAGAGGCCGGCGGCTGGGTGGATCAGAGGGGAAAGCAGGGAGAGTATCAGCCAGGGTTCCGCCATCCCGGTCATTCCTCTCTCTGCAGCTGGGTCCCCATCAACCCTTCATGGATTCCAGAAAGTCAGAACCAAACCAGACAACCTGTGAGTTGTAACTCCGAGTTTAGCAAAATAAAATTTTGTCCAGGCAGCTGAAGAAGAGATTTCATAAAAATGAAGGCAAGCCTGCCTCTGACGCCTTGGCACAACGCTAACCCCTGGCCTGGGAAGTCCGATTTCATCTACTCATTCAGTACCTACTGGGCATTTAGTATGGGCCAGGTGCTGGGCTGAGTGCTGCTCAGAATACGGCAGAACAAAGCAGACAGTCCCTTCCCTGACCCAGATTGGAAAGCAGAGGACACACAAGTAGGGAGGGAAGACAGAAGATCCCAGGGTGAGAAACGCTACTTTAGAGAAGGCCAGGGCATTACTGGATCATCAAATCCATGAGGGCTTCCTGGAGAAGGTGAGAGCTCAACTCAGACTGAGAAGGAACTAGCCAGAGTGAGGAGAGCGGCAAGTACAAAGGGCCAGAGGTGAAAGGGCGGCGGTAGCTGTCGCGGAAAGTTCGGCCCGCGAGGGTGGGAGCGGCAGCAGTTGGCAGTTCGCCGGCGCGGGCAGGGGCACTAGAGTCAGCTTATCCCCGGCAACGCCAGGGCTTTCTGTGACACCTGGAAGGATTCGGGCTCAGGCCGTGCTGCTGGGCTCAGCAGGAGGGGCGGGATGAGGCGGGACAGGAGGGGCGGCGGAGGGAGGGAGCGTCAGGCGGGGGCCCCCAGGCACTCCTGAACCCCCGCGATGTAATCCCCGGCGGGCGCGGATACCGGGGTCGCGCACTCTCACCGACGGCCAGCGTGATGAAGGCCACCTGGATGAAGAGCGACAGCCAGCTCAGCACGTACATGAACCACCTGGCGCGCC